TAATATTTCTTTAGAGTTTGGACCATTTCTAATCAGGCTCTTTCTAGTAAATTTTTATTTATTTATCTAAAATGGCCACATGAAGGCAAACGACAAAATGAATTCTCTTTTAGCTATTGTTCTTCCTATTTTAAAGAATACACCCAACAATTTTTTAACAGTTTACCAGGCTTTCTGTGTAAGTATAATAAAGCATGTGCAAAGACTCAGTTCTACAAATAACATATGAATTTGGATTTTATACGAAAGTTCAAATTGAAATTCTGATCAATCTACTGGTAACATAAAAAATATGCTCCTGACTTTATTTATATAACTTTAGAATCCCATTTATCCAGATACCATAAAGCAAAATGGTATCTGTGCTATGCCTCAAGTATAATAGGTACTTAATTAATACTTGTCTGATACATCAAAATGTTTTCCTTGATTCAGCCCATAACCTAAGTCTGACTAGCTCATGTAGCCATCACCAGGACCCAGGAAAAGCAGAAGCCTCAACAACACACTTAGCATCTTGCTCACTGGTCATCCACCCTCAGTCTCTATTTGTGGTAAGAAGGGAAGCGTAGAGATCCTAAGAAAATCAGGCCTAGAGAATTGGGAAAGTTCTGGGACTCAGGTGGGGCTCTGGAAAAGTTCTTTATTGTCAGGCACAATGCTCAATGTTGTCAATTCTTACGGGCAACTACGAAGCTTCCCTGAAGAATTTAAAAGTAAAATTGCCCTCTTTGAACTATCTCTAAGATGAACATTTAAACTACTTAGAGTAGAAACACAAAGTCACCTTAAAGCTGACAAACAGGTAATGCTTGGATGGGTATTGTCAATGGAAGTGAAAGCTCAAAAACAAGTTTCCAGTGTCAGTAACAGGCAGTCTTTTTTTGTGGGGGAGTGGAGGGGACCATTTTTAAAGTCTTTATTGAATTTGTTACAAAATTGTTTTATGTTTTGGTTTTTGGCCAGGAGGCATGTCAGATTTCAACTCCCCATCCAGGGTTTGAACACACTGCATTGGAATGCAAAGTCTTAACCACTGGACCACCAGGGAAGTCCCACAAGGCAGTCTTGAAAGTAGATCCCAGGCAACATACCCCCTCTGTATTACTTCAAGCCCTGGGGAGACATTTTCCTTATTTCTGTATCAGCCCTAACCTTATCTTACCAGATGCTCTAGATAAAGCATTCATGTAACTCCCCAAATTCTGGTTCACCCTCATAATCGATGTTTCTGTGTCCCACTGCCTAGAAAAGGGAAGAATTTGCTGACCACACAATGCAAGTTTTACTTTAGATCTGTAAATTAGCATCCATTTACAAACCATGGTCTTATGAATTTGGTTTCTTTGAGTCTGAGTCACCCCAAGAGATGGATGTGCTCTCTATTTGCTGATGAAATCAGTTTTCAAGCCTGCCATGCTGTAAATCAAACTCAACTACAATACATTCTCCCAAGTAACCTCCTGAGGCCTTTTGTGAAGCAGCCAAATGACTCTCCAGACAGCACCTCTCTCCACTGTGGAAAGAGACCAAGTGAACTATTTCTCTCATTTTAAAATTTCTACACTTAGAATTAATATTTCAGTTTTTACCTAAGGAAACCAGGTTACAGTAAAACCAACAATTTCAAGTGAATCATAGCTAGCTATCAGACACTCTACTTGAGCAACTAATAAACATGCTCACTAAAAAAAAAGGTATGAATTCTTTTTAAAGAGCTTCACTTTAAAGGAAATAGGGGAGGGGAGCTATCAGAGATTAAAAGAAATTTAGACATACTCACCAAATGCAATGCGTGACACCCTGTTTAGATCCTGTTACTAAGAAACTGTGGTAGGCAGAGTAACAGCCCCCCAAAGATATCCATATGCTCATCCTCAGAATCTGGGAATGTTACATGGTAAAAGAGACTTTGCTGTGATCAAGGCCTTGAAATAAAGAGAGTAGCCTAGTTTCTCCAGGTGGGTCCAACATAATCACATGGGTCCTTGAAAGCAGAGAATCTTTCCCAGTTGGGGGTTTGGGGAGCTACAAGGATGGAAGAAGGGTCAGACAGATGCAACATTACTAGCTTTGAAGATGAAAGAGGATGGTAAGTCAAGGAATGTAACCTCTAAAAGCTGGAAAAGGCAAGTGAACAGATTCTCTTCTAAGACATCCAGAAAGGAACGCAGCCACACTGGTACTTGATTTTAGCCTAGTAAAGACCACGTCAAACACTTCTGACCTAGAAAGCTGGAAAGATGATGAATTTGTCTTGTCACTGTATTTGCAGTAACTTGTTACAGCAGCAACAGAAAACTAATAAAACTCAAAGCTATTTTGAGACAAATGAGGAGAGTTAAACAGGGACTGATTGGGCATGAGTTGGAATATCGAGGAATTAAGGTTAATTTTTATTCGGGTATGGTAACAGTATTTAGGCTTTTTCTTAGCCTTTTAGAGAAACATACTGGAGTACTTATACATGAAAGGACACAATGATACCTGTGATTTGCTTTAAAATAACACTGCCCCTCCCAGAAGATATTACATTAGGTTGGTTAACTGTTGAAGCTTGGGGCTCAAGATACTATTTTGTATATGCTTGAGATTTTTCATAGTAAGTTAAAAAAAAAAAGGTAAATTAACTTAGGAGAGTGCACCAGAATGCTGTAGGTCAGCACTATCCAAATTTGTCTGTAATAAAATGTATTAGCATTGTTCAGTGCAGTAGCCACTAGTCATGGGGCTATTGAGCATTTGAAATATAAGTAGTGCAACGGAAGATTTTTCTTTTTTTGCCATTTTCATCAAAACATTTATTAAATGCATATCTGCACATGGCATGAACTGTGAATGAGCTGCTAAAGGCTTACTGCTTCTGCTGTTTAGTCACTTAAGTTGCATCTAACTCTTTGCAACCCCATGGACAGTAGCCTGCCAGGCTCCTCTGCCCATGAGATTTCCCAGGCAAGAATACTGGAGAGGGTTGCCATTTCCTTCTCCCATCTGAGGAATATTAATTTCAATTTTAATTGACTAAACAGCCCCTATGGCTAGTGGCTACCGTATTACACAGTGCAGCTCTATATACTGAAAAAGAGCCACGACGCCTTACTGTTAGGATTTAGTTAATAAGCAAGCTCATGAATTAAGTCAGTGCACACTTGTTATGTCTATCTGCCCAATCTCTCTTTCCCTTTCTTGCTAATAGCAGTACCTAGCTCGCAGCCCCACTCTAAGCCCTTCTTCACAAAGAGGTAGGGCATGAGATCCAGTCTATAACACAACTTCTTCCTAGCTGAAGAATAATGACCAAAGCCAGGACAACCACACCTTTTGCTTGAAATCTTCTGTATTTGGAAGTAAAGTACTCTTGATCAGGAGTTGTAAGGATGGAGCCCTAGAACTGCTAGCTATCTTATTCCTTGATACATTGAGGCTCCTAAGAAAGTAAAACCAAAATTAGGATAAAGATGGGCAGAGTCATGGTTCCCTTCAAGCTTTTATATCCGGTAAAAAATGAAGTCAACTCCATCCTTTTTTTTTCTGTTCTTTCAATTGGGTAACTCAATAAATTCTTTTTTTTTTTTTTTTGCTATGGTTATTTTTAAGTCCTGACACTCACAACCTAAAAAGTTTTAATACAAATTCTCGTTAAAAATTTCTTAATGCCAGGGTCATTAGCAAAATAGTAAGACTAGTGGCACTTCTATAAGCTAAAGTGTGTCCCCCTAATCCCCAATGCGTGGACATCGCCAGATGGTGAACACTGAAATCAGACTGATTATATTCTTTGCAGCCAAAGATGGAGAAGCTCTATTTAGTCAGCAAAAACAAGACCAGGAGCTGACTGTGGCTCAGATCATGAACTCCTTATTGCCAAATTCAGACTTCAATTGAAGAAAATAGGGAAAACCACTAGACCATTCAGGTATGACCTAAATCAAATCCCTTATAATTATACAGTGGAAGTGAGAAATAGATTTAAGGTACTAGATCTGATAGACAGGGTGCCTGATGAACTATGGACGGAGGTTCGTGACATTGTACAGGAGACAGGGATCAAGACCATTCCCATGGAAAAGAAATGCAACAAGGCAAAATGGTTGTCTGAGGAGGCCTTACAAATAGCTGTGAAAAGAAGAGAAATGAAAAGCAAAGGAGAAAAGGAAAGATATTCCCATTTGAATGCAGAGTTCCAAAGAATAGCCAGGAGAGATAAGAAAGCCTTCCTCAGTAATCAATGCAAAGAAATAGAGGAAAACAACAGAATGGG